TGTTAGTAACACCTGTCAACCCTCAGTTATTCTTTCTTCCTCCTTTGCTTATGCTCTGTATCTTTCCAGCTGTGATATTTATACCGTACGCTTTACATTCCCCTCTGCTGGAGACAAATTTCATACCTCCTGGCATGTTTGGATAGAATGCAACTGTAACAATGTTTCTCCTGAAGCACCATCCCCTCCTCTGGATATGGAAAGTTACTTTACTTTAAACTCACTTCTGCAGGTTTAAACAGTCCGAAAAAGATCCCCCTTCTTCTCCTGCTTCCGAAGGGGGGTTCAACAATTTTAAAATGATGAAAATTAATCTTTTAGAAGCTATTTTCTGAGCTCTGGTTTACGTTGTCTTTGCTTTATTCTGTCTACAAAGAAACGGAAGGCTGACTTCCTGTTTAGACCTTCCCGTTTCAGTGCCAAATTGAAGTAAATTTTTAAGTCCAATTCCTTTCTGCTCACAAGTTCTTATTTAAAGTCCAATTGTCCGAAATTTAAGTACTCACGGGTGATTATTTTAGAAGCCAAATTGTCCCAGGAAAAAGGCAGCGCTCTCTGGCAACAGCTATGCGGCTTCGCTCCACGGAAATAGCAGTTGACTCTCAGCACCGCGCCACTTCCCCCTCTTCGCTTCGGAGCCCGTTAGTGGGTTCCTTTGCGGGTTGGGGGGGCGCTAAGGGTGCCCGCCGAGTCCCATGGTCACAGGCTTCATCCGCCTGTGATTTTTGAAAGGGTCCCCGCTTTGCCGTAGCGGAAAAGACCCGTTTCGCGCAGAGCTAGTCCCTCCAGATCAGAGGGAGTCCGCCATTGCCGATGGCGCCACCCCGGAAGTCGCTCCACTTTCTGCAGTTGATTATAATGTCAGCCAGGTAAATGATGCTTTCCGTCCATCTTCATTAAGCAGACTGGGAAATGTAATGTCATTTTAATGGGTTGATTTCACTGCAGTTTTTTCTTATTCCGACATCTTGCCCGCCTTCATTTTACAGCAAAACTAAACTTTGACAGGTATACCTGGAAAAAGAAAATTTCTTATACTGAGTGCAGCATCCTGATTTCACAGCAGCTTGACAGATTTTTTTATTTTTTTGTAAAAATTGCTGCAGAAATGTGAAGAAGTGAATTTAAGATTGGGGGAAAATGAGCAACTGATAGAACTGAAATTGACAGATCTTTCTGTCCCTACCTAGGAGTAAGCCCCTTTGAACACAGTGGTCTTACATCTGAATAAAAAGGTTGCACTAAAAATTAAGTCAGGCATTCATTGAGAGATGCATTGTCTGAGTTTCCCTAATGTGTCAAACCAGGCTCCTGTGTGCATACAAAGGCATGAATGGAGCTTTCCCAGTTGCATCAGTGTAGGGAACATATGCACTGAATGAACACATTTACAATGTGGGGGTCTCTCTTGGACTCGGCACTATAATAGCCATGGGGTGTGTTTTGTTTTTGTCAGTTTAGCTTGAGCACATCGGCTGCAACTCTACCTACAGAAAGGAAATCTTGCCTCAATCACCCGTTGCTAGTGACATCCAGAATAGACTACTTCAATGTGCTTTACTTGGGGCTGCCTTTCAAAAACAGTTCAGAAACTTTGACTGGTACAAAATATGGCTGCCATGTTGGGCACCATGAGATCAAAACATGTGACACAGGTACTGCACTGTCCCAGTTGCATTGCTGCCACTGCATTTGCAGACCAAATCAAAAGTGCTGGTTTTGACCTTCAAAGCCCCAAGCAGTTTGGGACAAGGTTGCCTTTATACATATGAACTTCCCCACATATTGAGATCAGCTGAGAAAGTCAGGTTAAACACATTTTGCCCTTTGCTCCAAGCTACTATTTGTCCCCAAAAGGAAATTTCTTTGCTGTGTGGGGTGGAGCATTCAGATCAGGAACTCAGCTATACAGCTGCAAATATAACGTTTTAAGTGTGTTTTAAGTGCATCGTACAAGTGTGACACTAGATGGTCGCTGATGAGCAAATTTCATATATATTTTACTACTTTTTTTTTTAAGGCATTTTCACAGTAGTTTTTTTAATATCTGTGTAGGTTCAGCCCAGGAAAATGGCACAGTGAGAAAAAGTTAGCCACTCCCCACCCAATGCCGCACCCTCAGTTCAATTCAGACACCCAATGGCTCAGTCCCACTGGGACTAATAGGATGGATGCTAGGGAGGCCAGAACAACCAGTGACAAATTTTCCCCCATCCGCCTCGCTGCTGAGTTCTATAAGGGCATCACGAACCATAAATAGGAGGAAGCTGAACAGGTGTCAGGCTTCAGGAAATTGGATCCCTCCCCCCGGTGGCAGTAAATAAGCAGATCAAATGAAAGGAGCGTTCTTACCAGTTGGTTTCTTTAATAATCACAGCGAGAAACAAAGGAATGCTTATCTCTCTAGAAATGGCGTTGCTCCCAGTAAAGGTTCACCCCCTCCGTCCCCATTAATCTACATTACTGCTACATCTGATAATCTGAGCTTGTTGCTTCTGCACTCTCTGTTCTACCACTCTCAAAACCTGTCTAGTCTTAGGTGTAGGGGGGTCAAGAATTCTATCCAAGCACACTGAATCTGCCAGCTGTCTCTCTCCTGGTGTTTCCTCTTCTAGCTGTTCCTCACCCAGTATCTCCCAGCTTTACCCCTCTGGACTATGCCCTTCTGCAAACCACTGTTCTAAATCAATACTGTCCTCCTGCTCTTGGGAAGGTTCGGGAAGGGGGGGGCTCTCCCTATTCCTCATCAGTCCAACCATTGACAACAGGTAATCCCATACCCTGGATTTGTTGTAAGAAGCAACAGGCAGGCAGCTGAGGATGCTAAGGCAGTGTCCCATTCACCCTAATGGATTAGCCTCCACTGCACACACCATTTGCCATTTCAAAAAGTGTGGGAGGTCTGGTCACAGATCTCCTGCTGCCTCATCCCTTTGCTGTGGGGAGGAAAGACACACAGCAAGGCCAGCACTGAAATTTCTGCAAATTCATCAGCCCAAAGATGAAGCGGTTCTGCAATACCACCCATAAAAACGGAGGGAAGACCATAAATAAGAACTTTGCCATCAGTAATTGAGAAGATATAGATTGTTGGCTCGCGCTATGCTCTCACAGGGCGATATTTCATGACAAAGGGATGCTCTGTTTGGGAGGGCAGCGCTATATTGCTGCTAGATATATTTTTTCAAAAAAATCAAAATCTTAATTAAACAACCGTTAACATTGCCCAATACGTTGCACTCTTCACAGAAAGGTGTTTGTCTTTGTCAGGCATCCAATTTCACATATTAAAAAATGAATCACTTGTTCCAGCTGCAGAGGCTATCAATTCTCAACTTTCTGCTAGCCCAGCCAAGCCCACTCCAAGATACCGTTAGTCAGAATAGTCCATTTCTGTCACTGGGAATTCAGCTTGTAGCCACGGCATCAAAACAGGGTTGACAAGCAGGAGCCATTAAAAGTGCCTTCAGAACTTGTACCTTTTAGAGTTGATGCGTCTCCAGAAGAGATCAGGACCACGAAGGCTTGCAAGATGACCATCCTGGATAATGGCCAAGTTGCCAAGGGACTGAGAAGGAAGGAAGAGATGAAAGCATGTGAACTTCAAGGACTCCCCTATGAGTGCTCTCTCTTCCTCTCCCCCAATCCCTTGTCTACTTGGTTCAGCACCCAGGCAAGCCTTAGGGGCTTCAGAGAGGTACTGTACTGTACTATGTGGAATCTGGTGGGGAAGTGCATGCACAGTTAATGTCACTAGCTGGCACTAGCTCAGTGCTATTTTTCTAGAAAAAGAGGTGCCAGAACTCACTGTGAATGCCTCCCTTGTTCTCTTACCATCTGTAATGTTGGCCACCTGAGGTGCCGGAACTGAGTTCCAGCAAGTTCCGGCTGAAAAAAGCCCCAATACAGCTGTGTAAGATGTACAAAACAAAGTCAAGTGTTCTCCGTTCCTCAGCAGTCAAAGCATATGTCTCTGCTCCTTCATACACCGCACCTACAACTTAACATGACAGCTGCATACACCAAGGACCCTCTTCCTGTGACTTGAGAAGGGAGAAAAGATTGTAGAAGGGAGGGAAGTGTTAAATAGGGGTGACATCACTCTGCTGTCTTAGGAACATAGGAAACTGGTCCATCTAGGTGAGTACTGTGCACACTAACTGCCAGCAGCAATTCAGGGTTTCAGATACAGAATCGTTCTTACTAGGGGCAGAGACCTTGCCACTGTGAGATGTGGCTAAGTAGACCCCTGTGCTGTTCCATGAGTCTCCCCTCCCCAAAAAAATACACACACAAAAGAACCCCAGAGCCATTTCTTCCCTTATGGAGTCACAGCCACCAATCTGAAGGCTTCATCAAGGTCAACTGACCTGTTCTGACCTATAGTTGCAAGGAGGCTTCCTGGGCCGATGTGATTTTTCTTCCTGAAGTTCTCTCCTTTGAGTAGAGCTGGGTGGTAGTTGACATGCTAAATCCCCACCTGCTGTCTCCGAAAGTCACCTCTCGGAGGCCAGCTGTGAATTTGAATCTTGGCAAAGCCTAGTTCGCGTGCTTTCAAGGTTACCCATAGGAAATGGTTAACAATGGCAAGAAAAGCTTAACCAAAATGCCCACGTTGTTTTTCACTAAATCAACGTGGTGTTAAAAAGCTACCAGATGAGACTGTAGAACCACCCGCTGAGCTACTGAGTGGGATAAAAAGCCGTTTGTGCTAAAAATATTTGGAGAGATGGATTTGATAGATCCACACAATGTCTCCTATAATTTATCAGTTCAGCTTCTGCTTGTATCTGTTTCCCAAGTTTTGTTTTCCTTTTGCCTTTTGCTGAGATATTCAGTCCCTGACGTAGTTGAAGCATGTCCACAAAGTAGCTTGCTTTGTAACCTCATCAGCATCATTTTATTAGATTTCTTACCTGCTCTTCACCATGTGGTCCCAGGGAGGATGACAGCCCTATAAAAATGCACTGTTGAAACCAGCTTAATTAAACATCTATAATGGTAGCTCAGTGGTGGAGCATCTGCTTTGCATGCAGAAGGTCCCAGGGTCAGTCTTCAGGATCTCTGGAAGAGAACCCTTCTCGAAAGCCTGGAGAGCCACTGCCTGTCAGTGTAAACAATACTGACCTAGCCTGGATCTTGACACATTAAAAAAGAAGAAGAAGCGTTTCAGGAAAACAAGTTGTAAACTTTATTATAGGAAGCCCCAATGGCGAAAGACAAGACTCCACAACACCATTTGGTGTCACAGTGTTATAACAAATGTAAAATGCTAATAATAATAATAATAATAATAATAATAATAATAATTTATTTATACCCCACCCATCTGGCTGAGTTTCGCCAGCCACTCTGGGTGGCTTCCAACAAAATATTAAAATGCAGTAGTCTATTAAACATTAAAAGCTTCCCTAAACAGGGCTGCTTTCAGATGTCTTCGAAAAGTCTGGTAGTTGTTTTTCTCTTTGACATCTGGTGGGAGGGCATTCCACAGGGCAGGTGCCACTACCGAGAAGGCCCTCTGCCTGGTTCCCTGTAACTTGGCTTCTCACAGCGAGGGATTCAGCTTTACTAATGTCGCTGAATCCCTTGATAGATGATCAGTGGATCTGACGCAGTATAAGGCAGTTTCCAATGTTCCCATGAGTTCGTTCATTGGTGTTAACCTCTTTTTGAAAGCAATGAAGTGTTTTTCACTGAACAGCAGCTTCCTGTGTACCTAATTCTGTTCCACAGAAATTGGCAGTGACTGTGATCTGAAATAATAACTATGATATATGAAGCTCCTCACATGGGTCTCTAACTTGAGGTTAGGGATGGGCAGATCATCCTCTAGTCAGTCCTCATCACTTCCTTATGTGTTCACCCTGAAGCCCATTCCATCCATTTCGACACTAATCTGCAATTTAAAAAAACCCACATTACAATATCAAACACATTTTCTACCAAATGTGCATTTCTATACATATTTCTTCTCAAAGTACACAATTCTAATTGTGTTTTCCCCCTTAAAAAATACATTTTAACCTGTAATTAAATACTGCTTTTGAACTGAGAACTATGTCAAAATGTTTGGGAAGTACAAAAGATTATGGATAACTCAGCTGTAATCTGCACATTAGTTTGTGATGTCTGGATCAAGCCTGGTTTGTTTTTTTTCAGAATTTGCAAAGAATTTATCATCTGCAAGAATCCTTCTTTGAAGTCAGATTGATTTCTTGCTACAGGGAAAAAAAATATTACCTAATTTCCGGAAAGAGACATTTTTTCCAAGTAAAAAAGAAGGTTAATTGATGAAAAATGGTTTTAAAAGAGCAACACCACCTTTAGACGAGTTTTATAGAATGGAGAGTTGCTTTGTTAGATCTGACAGTTTACTATAGATGCGTTTTGAAGTTTGAACTTGGCCTTCGAGATGACATTTGAGGTAAAAATTATTAAAGGTTAGGTGCATTGGAATATCTGCATGTTATAACCTTGGGCGCAATCCAAAGAAGACTTAAGTGCACTTAAGACCTTTGTATTAGATCCGGAATTCTCCTTCCGTGGATGCAAATGTTCCTTCCATACACAGAAGACCCATGGATGGCTCCTGCTATTGGAGGGTGGAGGTGTCAACTTTTGCCAATTCCGTCCCCCGACTTGCACCCCCAAATGTATACTGGAAAAATGAGAAACTGAGAGAAATCAAAACTATAATACAGGACAACGTGGACAATATAGTCTGGTCTGGCATTAGAGAGCTAATATTGGTTAATAACAGCAGCAACAACAAAAGGTCAAAATGACCTTGCAGAAATGCAGGTTTGATGTTTCCTAAAATGAAAGGTGTTACAGAAAGAAGGATACATACCTTGAGATCTGAATCTACACAATCATGACATTTCCCCCCAATATTCTCTAACTTTTAAATGGTGGAAAGAATTGTTTGACAATGAAGTTGTCTCAAAGTGCTAAAGCAAGTTTAATGGCTAGCTAGTAATAGGACATTTTGTTTTGAAATAAGGAAAAAAAGATGACTCTGTGAGACATCATGAGCCCATAAATATATCTGTGAACTTTGTGTTCACCCATAAAATAAAGACTACATAAATCGTAAACTAAGGAGACAACTGTAAATTGGATGAAAGCGAAATCTGAGCAGTGGGACTGAAAATTATGACTGTATCACAGAATATATATGTGTGATCAAAAGTCACAAGAATGCGCCACTTCCTCGGTGCTGAGACATTCTGAAGAATGTTCTAGAAGAGGTTGCATTTGACTCGTCCAATATTTCAGGGCTCTACTGAGCCAGTGCCTGATTAAGTGAAGTGTAACTTATCAGTATTTCTTCACTCTGAGAAGATTTGTAGTAGAGCATCATCAGTGTTTTATTGTCATCTCAGGGCAAAAAGCTAAGCTGTTCCAGGAAGAGGAGTGAGACAAGGAAAATGGAGCAACGGCTTTAAATTTTAACACAAGGTACTAGAGGTCCTTACAGGTCACTAAAACCCAATGAATCCACTCACTCTCTGTTTGATGTGCATGAGTCATAGGTGTGTATAAGGTTGGTGTGTATGACTTATGCTTGCTTTATCTCTCTGCAGCCAGCCTTTGGGAGAATTACATTATTTAAGTCTTCTATAAATAACCAACACTAAATCGCCTTTGTTGGGTAAGAGGTCAATAATGCTCTTTTGAAGTGGAATCTTCCGTTTAGACCAAATAACCACCAGCACGTTGATACCACAAGGACTGAGTCTATTTGTTGGTGTGTTCCCCCTGCAATAAAATAAAATAAAATAAAATAAATAAAATAAAATAAAATAAAATAAAATAAAATTGATGCAATCTAATAATAATGATGATGGTGATGATGATGATGAAGAAGAAAAATGGAGCAGCAAAATGAAAAGACTAAGATATGTAGGGAATAAGAATAGATGTGGAGCAAGCAGAGATCTCTAAATTCCCTAACATAAAAACGGTGACATTTGTGTGTGCTGTTGGCCTAAGCAAAGTGTTGCGATATAAGGGCCCCATCTGCACTATATATTTAAAGCAGTATCTTACCACTTTAAACAATCATGGCTTCCTCCAAACAATCCTAGGAACTGTAGTTTGTCAAGAATGCTGAGAGTTGTTAGAAAGCCCAATTCCCCTTACAGAACTACAATTCTTTGCGTTCCCTGGGAAGAGGGGTTGATTGTTAAACCAATTCCCAGCACCCTTAACAAATTATAGTTCCCAGGATTCTTTGCATGAAGCAATGGCTGTTCGAAGTGGTATGGTACTGCTTCGAACGCCTAGTGCAGGCGGAGCCAAGGTTTAGAAGCAATGCATTCTTTATAAAACTTATCTAGTTGAATGTGTATTAACTAGGCACATCTATATATGCCCCAAGGAGCGGGGCAGGCCCCACCCATGAGGCAAGGTGAGGTGACCGCCTCAGGCGGCAGGATCCATAGGGACAGCAGATCCAGGCTCGAAGGAATGCAGAGCCTGTTGCTGCTACTGCAATGCCAACAACTGCTAAGGCATGCTCCTTGCAGGCCAAATCTACTGTCTCCTCAGCAGGCCATCCTGCATCTATAGTGGCCTCTTGTCAAATAGGAAGCACTGCTGGTCTCCTCCCAGCCTTGTTCCCGATGTAGATCTTTATTCCCTTTATTGATTCTAATGTAAATATTCATTCATCCCTTCTTCTCTGAAGAGGGGACGCCATTTTGTGTTTTGCCTCAGGTACCAAGATGTGTTGGGCTGGCCCTGCTGAGGAGCCACTATCAAAGTCAACAGAACTGATAATACAGTGGTACCTCAGGTTAAGAACTTAATTTGTTCTGGAGGTCCGTTCTTAACCTGAAACTGTTCTTATCCTGAGGTACCACTTTAGCTAATGGGGCCTCCCGCTGCCACCGCACGATTTCTGTTCTCATCCTGAAGGAAAGTTCTTAACCCGAGGTACTATTTCTGGGTTAGTGGAGTCTGTAACCTGAAGTGTCTGTAACCTGAAGCGTCTGTAACCCAAGGTATAGATAGACAGATAGACAGACAGACAGACAGACAGACAAACAGATGGCATTTCTACCACAACTTTCCTCCCAGAGGAGGTGAAGTGATTTTCCCCCAATTTGTTCATTCTGACAGGGACGACACAGAACAACTGCAACAACTGTATTGTTGTTTTTACAATGGGTTTGATAGCCCTTCTTTTAGCTAATATCTCACTCAGATATTTGAAACATTACCTTCCTGAAGTTCTGCAGCAGAGACATGGGGAGCTAGTGTATACTAGATCACACTAGGTAGCAACAAGTCATGTCACCTGCTAAATTATCTCTGAGGGGAGAAGCTCAAAACTGAAGGTGTCAGGAATTGAACTTGGGACATTCTAGATACAAGGCATGTGGTCTGCCATTACCATTGAGCTTCAACAACCACAAACAGGATAGCGTAGAGGACAAAGGGATATAAAATATTTTGTACATCAAAGGTTCTCTGTGAAGGCATCACTCCAACTATCATTAACAGGGAGCCAATAGGACTTAAAAGTGGCCAGAATTACTCATCTGATTGATCTGAAAGGGACTAGACTAACTAGGTAGATGTATTAATTTTGTCCTATAAGCACTTACCTGGAAATTACTCAGTCCTATTGGTATGCAAAGGATTGCATCTGTGTTCCCTCTTACTAGTGAAATTTTATTGTGAACATTTTTCAGTTCCCTGTTTCCTTACCCAACACTCTAAAAAATGGAGAAGAAACTATCTGAATAAACACATGATATATTATTAGCTTTGTCTCTTTACTTGTTTTGTGTGATTTTTTTTTTTAATACTGTGGTGGTAGCTAAACAAGCATTTACTTGTCCTTTAGCTGAATCCCATACTCAATTATCTGAGAATAAGCCCCATTAAATTCAATGGGATTTACTCCTGAGTGGATGTGCATAGAATTGTACTGTCAGGCTTCAATCCTAAGCACTCATGCCTGGGAGAAACTCTCACTGAAATCAGTGTGGTTTATTTTATAGAATCATACAACTCTAGAGTTGGAAGAGACCTTGAGGGTCATCTAGTCCAAGCTCCTGCAATG